CTTCTCTCCCTTCCCTCTTTCCCCCCTCACCCTTTCCTCTCTCCCTCCTTTCCCCCCTCCCTGCCCATTTCCCTTTCCATCTAATCCCTGTCCACTCACAAGTGGACTCTTCATCTCTGTCTCTTCTCTTCATCTCTTTGCTCTTTCCATCCCCTTTCTCTCTATTTTCTTCTTTCTTCATGAGCCTTTCCCCATCTTTGTGCTTATCTTGTTCCCAATGTCCTTCCCAAACCACCATCCTGCCAAGCCTCTCTATTTACTTAGAATTCCTGAATAGTTTTTATTTATTTATTTATTTATTTATTTGTTCATTTGTTTTGTGAGATGAGAGAAGATGGGGACATGGGAATTATATGTGTCATATTATGTGTGTCGTGTTTCCATACTGTAAATAGTTATTATTTTATCTAACCTCTTTCCAAACAAGGGGGAAAGATTTCTTATGTGAAGACCAACAGTTCAACCCAACAGTTACAGTTGTAAACTGTAATGCTTTTGTGACAAAATGAGATATCTTGAGGAGAAAATTATCTCCAGAGGGGAGAGAAAAGAGTTACTGTGAAGTATTTCTAAAAGACCTATTTTTTTTTTTTTTTTAGATTTTGTAAAAAAAAGTCATAAATAAATTTCCTGGTTTGTATAATGGGAAATGACCTATGTATTTTACGTGCAATGCTAAAGTTAGTGACAAGAGAAAAATTCATTTAAAATTCATTCATTTAAAAAAGATGCCATGTGTGATCTCAGTTTTTACATGATACCTGTTCCTGAAACTCTTGAATGAGAGGTGATAATCAATCATCAATCAATAAGAAGTACGTGTTTCCAAATAAAAATTCATGTCTGACAAAAATGATAGCTTCTTGTAAAATGAGAATGATAAAATTAATAGATGATTGGAGTACTGCTTATGTAATGCACAACAAAATTTGCTGACAGTTAGTTTGGACACACTGAAACTATTTATGGTTAAGCATAATGAAAACCCCAAACTGTGGCAGTCCAGTATAATAAGCAAATTATCATTTAAATTACCATCAGTCAGTATTTACACTGAAGCAGCATGATGAGGAAAATTATTTTATACTTCAGGGAGATAATAAATATCTGAATTTAATACTACTTTTGATATGAAAATTTGTCACTTAAGAAGAATCATATTTGTTGAACTGACATGTTAACAACCAGCTAGAAATCTTGCTCAGGAATCTTGCTTGTTGTAATTCACTGTCCAGCATATTAAGGTAAGGTGTTATTTTATTTAGATCTTTATTAATGACCTGGGGAAAAAAAGTAAGTGGCATAAACAGAGGATTTTGTAAAAGTTAGAGAAAAATGAAAGTGAAATAACAGCTCTATGGAAGCCAGAAATATTGATATTAACATGATATTTGGCAAAGAAGGCAAGCATGTTAGTATTTCTGAAGAACACAAAACAAATGAAGCAATTCTCAAATGGGAAATACATAAAGAGGAAGAAATAATATTACTCACACTGGTGTATAAATAATTATTTTCTTGATGTAATCACCGCTATTACTAACTACTCTACAAAATATAATAAAGAAAAGATGTTAAACTGTAGACACATTTGTCAATTCTTCAGGGGCTAAATACGGCTCTGATTTTGGCTGCAAGGTTAGACAGTTGGTACCACTGCAGAAGGGCAATGATCCTTTCTAATACAATACTTGTGGCACTTCACTGTCAGCAGTATGTACAGTTTTGGTTGACTCAGAGCCAAAAAAAGTTGCTTGTCTTAGGAGAGTTTTGAAGGAAATTAGCAATAAATAATAATTGCTTATTCATAAAGTTAAATTTATTTTGCTCAAACATGCTGAAGTAAGAAAGCTACCTAAATTTATGGATCTTTTGTGGATAAAATCTCATGAAACTGATGCTCAGTAAACTACTCTAGTGTGTATGTAAAATCAAAAGTTTTAAGTTTCAGGAGAGCGCAATGCTTCATTTTTGGGGCAATTGTGAATTATTGTACTGGATTGGGCTGGGACAGAGTTAAATTTCTTCATAGCGGATTGTATGGGAGTATGTTTTGGATTTTTACTGAGAATAGTGTTGATAACACACTGCTGTCTCAGTTATTGCTGAGCAATGCTTACGCAGCACCAAGGACTTTTCCGCTCCATGGACTGCCCTGCCAGTGAGTAGACTGGGGGTGCACAAGAGGTTGGGAGGGGACACAGCTGGGACAGCTGACCCCAACTGATGAAAAGGATATCCCAGACCACATGACGTTGTGCTCAGCAATAAAACTGCAGGGTGGAGGTTGGTGGGGGCTGCTG